TTCAAACTTCTTCTGGAGGGACTGTAGCTAGAGGAGAAGATTGTTCAGCCTCCAACTCCACTGAAAGCTTGGCCTGGCTGTCAATTGTAGTAGCAGTGGCATTTGAGCTGGGAACGCCAGTCAGTTGGGAAATGGTTGGAGATAACCCAGTTCATTTTGCCACCGAGTATCCCTGGCTTGGCAGCAACTTTCACTCATGGCTGACTTAACCTGGCGTTCAGCTGATGTTAGAGATGAAAGGCTGAACATCCATTTACTCATCCCCTGAGCCATCTGGTCCTTGCTGTAGTCTTTTGTTTTACTAACAGCCAAACCTGACATACAAAGTCAATAGTATTACTGATATTTTACAGATAGGGGAGACTGAGTGAAAGACAGGGGAAAGGGCTGAAAATGTTGGATTGGGTCCTAAAGTCCAGATTTTTAAAGGTATTGAGGTATTTGCAGTGCCTAAGGGTATGTCTACACTACCCGCCGGATCGGCGGGTAGTGATCGATCTATCGGGGATCGATGTATCGTGTCTCGTCTAGACGCGATACATCGATCCCCAAACGCGCTCCCTGTCGACTCCGGAACTCCACCAGGGCGAGAGCTGGAAGCGGAGTCAGTGGCCGTCGATCCCGCGCCGCGAGGACGTGAAGTAAGTCAATCTAAGTCGATCTAAGATGCGTCGACTTCAGCTACGCTATTCTCGTAGCTGAAGTTGCTTATCTTAGATCAACCCCCCTCCCCCCCCCCAGTGTAGACCAGGCCTATAGTCTCATTTTTAAAAGGGAGTTAAACACTTAGGGGCTTAAATTAGTGGGATTTTATCTCCTAACTGCCTAAATCCCATTTGGAAATGAGACTCAGAGTCCTAAATCAGTTGGGTGTTGCCCCACCGAGGGCAGCAATGTCTAAATATCTTTTAAAATCTGGGCCTAAATCACTTGTTTAAGATCACACAGAAACTCAGTGGCAGAGCTGGAGAAAGCACCTGATTCTCACACCTGTGCATTAGCCACTAGTCATGCTTCCTCTGCGTAGTGTTTTTAAGATACAGCTGGCCACTCAGAAAGGGATTAAGAAAGAGAGCATGTTTTAAAACTCCCTTTTTACATATTTACCTAATTCTGTCAATAGTCTGCTCTTCAGAATCCTAAGTATATATTGACCTAATTTTTTCAAGTGGAAATGAAGTATTCATTCAAAGGGAAATATCATGGCACGCTAGGTAAATACGCAAGCCACAGATTTAGGTATGTATATCAGCTTTCAATAAAGGAAAAGGAAAAACATGACAATTAAATACTGTGATCTCTAGCTTGCAGGCAGCATAAGTTACTGTTGTTAAAAAATCACTTCTGTAGCATCGTAAATGTACACAGTATTTTACTATCTTGCCTCAAGGGCCATTCCCTGCCCCAAAGAAATTACAGTGAGATTATGGGTATATCTGCACCATAGCTGCTATTGTGGCATAGCTCGGGGGCTGCAGCTGCGCCACTGTAGCCCAGTAGCGCAAAGGCTTCCTCCAGGGCTGGAGCACCCATGGGGAAAATTACTAGGTGCGTGCACCTACCGGCAGCCAAGCTCCCCGCCCCGCCTCTGCCTTCTTCCCTGAGCGCGCCGCGTCCCCGCTCCTCTGCCTACCTCCCAGCGCTTCCTGTCCGGCTGCCGCCAAACAGCTGTTTGGCTGCTCGGGGAAGGGGGCAGGAGGAGCGGGAACGTGGCACACTCGGGAGGAGGCAGGGAAGAGGCGGGGCGGGAGCGGGGATTTGGGGAAGGAGTCGGAATACGGGCAGGGAGGGGGTGGAGTTGGGGCGGGGACTTTGGGGAAGGGGTTAGAATGGGGGTGGGGTGGGATGGGGCGGGGCCTCATGGAAGGGGTGGAGTCGAGGCGGGGCCGGGGGCAGAGGGGGGTTGAGTACCCACCGGCGGGAGCAGAAGTCGGCACCTACGTCCAGTGGTGCAGCTAGATCCATCTAATTTTTAAGTGTAGACAAAGGGCAAGTCTACACTACAAAATGAAGTCAACCTAATTTTCATCGATGTACAGTCATTGCAGCAATTGAAACGGATTTACACATCCACACTATGCTCCTAGTGTCAACTGTGTGCATCCTCACCAGGAGTGCTTGCACCGATTTAACTAATGGCTCATCATGTTGACACCCAACTGAGGCATAAGAACATAAGAATGACCATACTGGGTCAGACCAAAGGTCCATCCAGCCCAGTATCCTGTCTGCCGACAGTGGCCAATGCCAGGTGCCCTAGAGGGAGTGAACCCAACAGGTAATGATCAAGTGATCTCTCTCCTGCCATCTATCTCCACCCTCTGACAAAGAAAGGCTAGGGACACCATTCCTTACCCATCCTGGCTAATAGCCATTAATGGACTTAACCTCTATGAATTTATCTGGTTCTCTTTTAAACCCTGATATAGTCACAACCTCCTCAGGCAAGGAGTTCCACAGGTTGACTGTGTGCTGTGTGAAGAACTTCCTTTTATTTGTTTTAAACCTGCTGCCCATTAATTTCATTTGGTGGCCCCTAGTTCTTATATTATGGGAACAAGTGCATAACTTTTCCTTATTCACTTTCTCCACACCACTCATGATTTTATATACCTCTATCATATCCCCCCCTCAGTCTCCTCTTTTCCAAGCTGAAAAGTCCTAGCCTCTTTAATCTCTCCTCATATGGGACCCATTCCAAACCCCTAATCATTTTAGTTGCCCTTCTCTAATGCCAGTATATCTTAGAATATCAATCATAGAATAGACCTCAGGAGGTCATCTACTCCAACCCCCTGCTCAAAGCAGTACCAATCCCTAACTAAATCCCCAAATGGCCCCCTCAAGGATTGAACTCACAATCCTGGGTTTAGCAGGCTAATGCTCAAACCACTGAGCTAGCCCTCCCCCCTCATCTCTTTTTTGAGATGAGTAGACCACATCTGTACGCAGTATTCAAGATGTGGGCGTACCATGGATTTATATAAGGGCAATAAGATATTCTCCATCTCATTCTCTATCCCTTTTTTTAATGATTCCTAACATTGTGTTTGCTTTTTTGACTGCCAGTGTGGGGCATTGTGGGACAGTTTCTGAAAGGCAGCAACCGTTGATGTAAGCAACGCAGTGTCTACACCGACACTGCGTCAACATAGCTACATTGACATAAGCGCAAGGCCTCTCACGGAGGTGGAGTTAAGTCAGTGTAGTGGGCGAGTTACATAGGTGGGAGCTACTTTTTAGTGTAGACGTTTACAGAGATAGGTTGACGTAAGCTGCCTTATGTCAACCTAACTCTATAGTGTAGATCAGGCCCAAGCCCTACATAAGAGAGGACATTAGATAAGAGTTTAGGTGAGAGAGGATTAATGATGATGAGAAAAAGGGAGTTAACCTGAGAAGTGACGATAATTTACCCCAAAGAACTGCACTTACAATACCATACACAGAAAACAGCTGTTAGCTCAAAGAATTCACTAGCTCTCCCAGTTTATAAACTATACTGGAAAACAGTGAGGTGGGAAAATAATTGACAAACTTTGCCAGTGGAGTAAACAGCATAAGACAACAAAGAAAAAATCTGGAGGTCAAATTTTTCTGCAAATAAAAATATTTACTTTTTAAAAATACTTTATCGTCTCGCTAAGATTGTGAGATCAGCTACTAAATGGCTCTTCCTGCCTTCAAGTCTCGCCTTTCTCCTTTTTACCTACAAGAGTTAGGCAGCGGGAGGGCGATGACTGCTGCTCATTACACTTCTAGGCTCATCCTTTCCTTGTCACATTGGCTGTTCCTAGCTTGCGTGTTGTCGTCAGTTGTTTTCTCTCGATGTTTCTCTGTCTGTTGTTACGTGTTCGTACAGCACCTTGCACAATGAGACCCTGATCCCCCAGTGAGGCTTGGAGGTGCTACAGCAATAGAAATAATAAACAAAGTTAGGAATTTCACCTAAATCAATAAGGTGCTGGTAATGTTAACACAACTGTGTGTGTGTGTGTGTGTGTGTGTGTGTGTGTGTGAGAGAGAGAGAGTATCCATCCAACTCCTTATTCCTTTGTTAAATGTAAACCTTCATGCAATATACTTAGCTATTACTGTATCTTATAAAATATACAGGACAAAGGGTCTCTGATTCTTTACCTGGTCCATTAGACCCTACTATAATATAAATCCTAGTACACAGTCTGGCCAAGTAAAAACTGCTGGAACAATCTTAACATTAGGAATTTCCTGGGTTGTTTTTTTTTAGTTGCTTGAGTTCACAGCTGTAATTCTGGGGAGCTGGGGCAGCGAATTGTCATTCACTAAGCACGCTATGTAAATATGGGGAAAGCGTCATGGTAGGGACAGGCTCAGTGTGAATTTCTAGCCTCCCATCCGAAACGCCTCGGTACCATTGTTCATGTCAAGCCAGTCCAGCAGGGCTCTGATGGTGCGTCTACACTGCAATAAAAGACTCGCAGCTGGTAAGGGTCAGCTGACTCAACCCTGCTAGCCCAAGCCCTGGTAGCCTAAAAACTGCTATGTAGACATTCAGGCTCGGGGCTCTGGGACCCTCCCCCATGCAGGGTCCCAGAGCTTGGGCTCCAGCCCAAGCCTGAACATCTACACAGCAATTTTACAGCCCTGCAGCCCAAGACCGGTCAGTTGACCCCGACCAGCCACAGGTGTTTAGCTGCTGTATAGACGTCCCCGGAGTGAACAAGAAAACGTAAGTGCTGTCAATTGGTAGTGGAGCACAATCCGATAGCTAGGGCTGTTTAAGGCAGACAGGAGCAACGCTGCCTGAGTTAAGTCATATTCCTTCGGCCGCCATTAGGTTACTCAGCTATTTCTCCTAAACAGTCATAAAAAGACACTTGGTTCAATCTGTTTTATCTTTTTTGCTTGGCCCAGGGGAGTGTCTTTAGCTATAAATGTGCCATGGAGAATGGATGGGCCAATAATTTACTGACAGTCTCTCTCTCTCTCTCTCTCTGCCCTTTCTGTAGGTGTCAAGCACACATCCTGAGTGCATCATCATGCTGGCGATCGAACACGAGCATGAGAAATGCCTGGCGGACTCCGGCCTGGACAATCAGACAGTAGGTAAGGGATGGATCTTTGCAGACTCCACATGCCGAGAGCTGGGCAGTGACCTGCTCACTGCGTCCTTCCTACCACATATCCTGCTCCTCTCTGGGAGCTGGAAGACCCAAAACTCTCGAGTTCAACTCAACTCCACAACTTCCGTGTTTGTGCTGGGCTGAGTCTTGGCCATTTGCTGCATCTGTTAGTTTGCTCCCCTCCGTCCCACCTCGGGGGGAAGGGGCGAGGCAGAGGTATGAGTCCTCCCCTTTTGCGGTATCCTCCTCTCTTGCGGGTGCTGGAGGGAACAGCCCCCGTGCTCCCCAGGGTGCAGAGAATGCCAGAGCTGCTATTCCAAGTGACCCCGGTGCAGCCATCAGAGGCGACGCATTGGGGGGCACACAGGGTCACGTGGCCCCCTAGATTTCTCGGGCTGCCTCCCACTGGGACCCCCAGCAGCAAGGAGGCAGCGGCTCCCCTTGGCAGCGGCACTCACCATGTGTCTGTGAATCACAAGGAGGGAGTGGCTGGCTGAGCTCCTCCCCCTCATCTCGCTCCATGAGGCTGCTTCTCCTTCCCTGCTGCTAGAGTCCCGGTGCTTCCCGTGGCCTGCCTTGCAGACCGCCCCCTGCAATGAGTCAAGGGCTGGAGGCAGAGGCTATGTGTGGAGCGGTCACATGCCCACCCAGAGCCTTTCAATTATGCCCGCCCACCATCCGCAGTTACGTGTCATCTCTGGCAGCCGTGCAATTTCTTGTATGCCCTGCACACCTGACCTGAGCATAGATCAGCCTGGCCTAGAAATCATGCACACAGTGAAATCTGTTGTGGTGGTGGTGTGGAGTTTGATTATATTGGCCCCACCCAGTGTTCTTAGAGCAGCAGGAGTCGGTCGAGTGTGTTTAACTTGGCCTCCTGGAGTGCCTCTCTCAAGTCACAGAACCTGTTCTCATGATGAAAGGAGGCTTAAGGAGCAGTGATATACATGCCCACAATGACAATGAACAATCTGATCATTGTGGAGGGACGGGGAGTGGAACGGAGCATCCAGGGCATGGAATTCGCTTCCCGCCTCCTGTCGTGTGTCTGTCAGAGCCCGTGAACTCATCAGAGTGTCAATAATGCGCCGGGCTCGCTGTGCTTTGCCGCTGGGGCTGCCACCAAAACTCCGCTGTACCTACTAAAAACTCCTTTCTGTCTCGCTCTCTTAGTTAAGCTAAAGACAGAATGTGGCATTCTGCACAGATTTGCTCCTTAAATAACCATGTACAAATGCCAAGGTCATCCCTGGCGTAGCTCCATTGAATTCAGGGAAAGGTTTGGAGTCTGCTGACACCCGCTCAGGTTTTTGTAACCCACACACCACCTGGGTGTGGTGTTCTGTTCCCTCTAATGGCACGAGACCACTTAGAGATTAATGAGTCTGCCAGAGCCTGCGCTATGGGCCGTGTGGCTTTTAACTCATGCAGTAGAGGCTCATGCATTAAGCTTCAGAGGTCCCAGGTTCAATCCCACCTGCCAACCCGGGTCTGTCGGTGTTACATTTTCATTAATATTACAATGCCACAACCTAGGTAAGGTCCATATTGAGCATGGTACATGGACAACGTTGCACCCCATTAATGTCCATCGTTACTAACAAGTGTCTAAATGAATTCTGATTTTTCATGGTGCCACATTAAACTACTGGCTTGAAACAAATCTATATTTCTGCAGGGACTTCAGCTGATTTCACTAAGTGGGACGGCTTCTGAGATGACAGCGCATGTGCAGTCGGGAGTGTCTTTGGCTAGGCAGCCGGCGGGTGTTTGCATGAGTTCGGTGTGCAGTGTCTGTGTGTGTGTGAATACACGTGCAATGTTGCCAGGCCTGCTCGCTAGGAAAGCTGGCCCAGGAACTGATTTTCTGGTTTGCTGGCTGGTCTGAAAAATCCAAAAACATTTCGGGTCAGGTCGAACAAAACGTTCCAGGTGTTTTTAATAAAAGCAAAGGAAATGAAGGGCTAGATTCACAAAGCTCTGCTAGGGGGGCGCCGCCTGCACCTTTGGCTCCGTGATTATAGCCTGGGAGTAGAGAAATGTTGGTTCAAGTCTGTACTGTAGAGCAGGGATTTGTTATATGGAGATATACCTATCTCATAGAGCTGGAAGGGACCTTGAAACGTCATTGAGTCTAGTGCCCTGCCTTCATAGCAGGACCAAGTACCGTCCCTGACAGATGTTTGCCCCAAATCCCTAAATGACTCTCTCAAGGATTGAACTCACAACCCTGGGTTTAGCAGATCGATACTCACTCACTGAGCTATCCCTTCCTGAACGTGGGTCTCCCAGTGGCTCTCAACCTTTCCAGACTAGTGTACTCCTTGCAGGAGTCTGATTTGTCTTGCGTACCTCACGTTTAACCTCACTTCAAAACTGCTTGCTTGCAAAATCAGACATAAAAATAGAAAAGACTCACAGCCACACTGTTACTGAAACATTGCTGACTTTCTCATGTTTACCATATAATTATAACGTAAATCAACTGGAATATAAATATTGTACTTACACTTCAGTGTATAGAGCAGTATAAACAAGTCATTGTCTGTATGAAATTTTAGTTTGTACTGACTTCGCTAGTGCTTTTTATGTAGCCTGTTGGAAAACTAGGCAAATCTCTAGATGAGTTGATGTACCCCCTGGAAGACTTCTGAGTACCCCCAGAGGTACACGTACCCCTGGTTGAGAACCACTGTTCTATGTTGCAGGTAAGTACCCTACACACCAGGCTATAGGCTACTGTGAAGTGGGGGCAAGGAAGCGCTCTCATTTTTTCCTGTTGAAGCTGTTCCACTTGGTCTGAAATACTTGTAGTCATTGAGCAAGCAAGAGAATGCCTCTATAGCCTGATAGCAAGGGCACCTACCCACAATCCTAATCCCTCTCCCTGTGCCACTGAATATTTAAGCATGCAGCGAGTCCCTGTGTGCTTCCGTGCAGCTTATGTCTCCCTGTCAAGTGTCTAGCCTTGTGCGTGTGCACGTCAGGGTTTAGCGTGCAGTGTGTGAGCACAGGTGGCAAAAAAGCGACTCTCCTAGGTTGGCGCTAAGCTATTGCATCAGTTATGTAACTGACAGCAGTACTGCAAAGATTGACTGTGTGTGTATGAGTGAGAGAGATGGGGAGAGAGATCAGAAGCAGCCGCCACGAAGTATAGCAGCACTCCCATATATTAAAATGATTACCATTTCCACTAAACAAACTGCCAGAAAAATCCTAGCACATAACATCTCTGTTAAACCCGTCATGAGATGGCTCCATAGCTAGCAGGATTCTGGCACATGGGAAAGGGAGAACAGAAAGCGAATAAGGCCCCCTGCCACCTTTAATAGAATACATTGATGTATGAGTGGGTTTGTGTGTTATCTATCTTCTGCACACACTGCATCCTGTTGGCAGAAAGAAAATCCGCTGTGGTTAAACAACTAATTTATTATCCTTTCTAATTAAATGAGTGGAATTAAAAACACACATGATCAGTGGGAAACTGGAAATAACAGTGGATGGAGGAGCCATTATTGGCGTATTGATGAAAGGGGATTAATCTGTTTGACTTGTTAGATTAAGCCAGTGGCAAATGATTAATCAAGAACACCCTGTGGTGGCACTGTTATTGATCACTACCGCTTACCTCTAGATATTCAAGTAGTTTTCCACTAAGAAACAATCAGGGCTGCATTAACATGCTGCTGGATGGCCAGGTATTATGCGGGGGGAGGGGGGCTGTATTGGTAGAAGTCAAATGGTAGCTGGGTTTCTGTTCAAATTCCCCCGCCCCTGTATTTTCAGAGCTGGCAGCAGGTGCCTAATTGTCAGGCCTGGCAGCAAAAGTCCTCTAGGTTTCCGGAGAACAGGTACAGAATGGGCCAGAGCAGAGCACCAATGTCCCTCATTCCTGAGTGGAAAGACCACCGTAAAAACGGAGAGAACCAATCCGTTTCCATTAAGGGCATGTCTACACTGCAGTTGGAAGGTGTGACTGCAGCACGGATAGACATACCTGAGAGATTTTTCCATGCACCTCCTAGGAAAACATTCCCCATTTTATGAAGCTTCCCATGTTACACTTGCTGGTCCTCTAGGCACTGATCCAAGCTAGCTCAGGTGTGTCACACCTCCTGATTGCAGTGCAGACACAATCCAAGTCTCACTGCTGAGACAGCCAGTAAAGGTGCTTAGAGCTAATTGTGATTGTACCCTGAGGCTTATGTAAAAAGGACTTATGTAGAAGTGCCAAGTGCACCGTTACAGAAGTATTTATAAGTATAAGTGTGCCGTGGAAATAGTACTTAACTGCGATTAATCGACAGCCCTAATAAATACTTAACTCACGCAATTAACTCAAAAAGAATCACGATTAAAAAAATTAATCACGATTAATCAGACTTTTAATCACACTCTTAAACAATAGAATGCCAATTTAATATGAATACCAATACATATGAATCTTTAGCGCATCTGGCATGTGAATACCTTGCAATGCCGGCTACAACAATGCCAAGCAAACACCTGTTGTCACTTTCAGGTGACACTGTAAGCAAGAAGCGGGCAGCATTATCTCCCATAAATGTAAACAAACTTGTTTGTCTTAGCGATTGGCTGAACAAGAAGTAGGACTGAGTGGACTTGTAGGCGCTAAAGTTTAACATTGTTTTGTTTTTTGAGTGCAAAAAAAAAATCTACATTTGTAAGTTGCACTTTCACTATAAAGAGATTGCACTACAGTACTTGTACGAGGTGAATTGAAAAATACTATTTCTTTGTTTATCATTTTTACAGTGCAAATGTTCATAATAAAAATGATAAAATATAGTGAGCCCTGTACATTTGGTATTCTGTGTTGTAACTGAAATCAATATATTTGAAAATGTAGAAAAACATCCAAAAATATGTAATACATTTCAATTGGTATTCTATTATTCTTTAACAGTGTGATTCATCGCGATTAATTTTTTTAATCACTTGACAACCCTAGTCTTTATA